AATAATAATAATGATGATAAAATGATTCGAAAAGAAGGAATAAATAAATAAGTAAAAATAAATTAACATTAAATATATTTTTATTAAATTGTTATTGTAAATAGCAATATAATTATATTATTAATTTATATTGTATAATAGTTATTATATAATTATTATTGTATAATATTATATATATACAATATTATACAATATTAGTTTTTTACTGAAATAAAAAATGTTAGAGATGTCAAGATACCTTAAATATAATATAAATTTAAAAGTACTTTAAAAGTATTTTATAAAAATATATTGTTAAAAATATATTAAATTAAAAATATTTTAGAAACATAAAATAAAATTAAATTCTAAGATAAAATTCGTAATTAAGAAATGAAAGAAAAAAGGAAAAGATAGATAATATGCCTTTGTAACTTATAAATGAAATTTGAACAAAATATATCAAACAAAAAAAAATTCACTTACCGATTATTGAATTAAAAAAACTGCTAGAACTATTACATAGCCCTATCCTCCGTCTGGTAGTTTTATGATATTTGATAATACTGAGTCCATATAAGCAATATTTTCTTTATTAACATTTTTTTTATTCTGTCTATTTCCCTCAATTAAGAAGCTAATAATCGCATGTGCCATGAGCTAAAATTGAATGTTATTTATACTCGCGATATCGATATCGATATTTTAAATTAATATCAATATAATAGAAGAAAATGAAAAAGAGAAGAAGATATTGAAATCTTAGAAATTATTTTTAACAATACAAAAATTATTGTTATATTATATAGAGATAATATTAAATATAATAAATTTTTAACAAATAATTATATTTTTAAAATAAGCTTTTTTTTCTTTATTAAAAATTTCAAAAATTTTCTTTCATTATATGATAATGATAAATAAGGTATTAATCAAAGTTCACAAAATTTTAATATTAATTATAATATTAATTTATTTATATTCGATTTATTTATATATATTTATATATTTGTTGATACAATCTTTATTAAAAAAATATAGTTTTATTATATTTTTCGATTTATTAATATTATTAATTTTTTAATATCTATTCATAACTAAGCAATGGTATTATTAGTATAATAAAAATATAGTAATAATATTAACATATTAAATATAATATAAAATTGATTGAATTAAAATAAAATAAATAAATAAACATTCATTTGAATACAAATATTTATTGATCTTTGGAATTACTTTTATTTTTTTTTACATACTTTTTTTATATAAAGTGAAGTATTCTATTAACTTTTTAATATAAAATCAACTAATTGTTCTATCAATATTTTCAAGACCTCCTCTTAAATGATCATTCATTTGTGGACGTAATTCATAAGTACAAATAGTAACACCATGTTGATGTGCAGGTGACCATTCTCCTTTTAATCCAATGTAATAAATTTTTATTTTATCTGTTC